TGTTCGACTGATTTTATACATAGCGCAATCATTGTGTGCAGCCCTTTAGGCTGTATACAATAAAGTTTCGCTTTGTTTTTGGATCTGGGTGTAAAAGCTAAACATATGAAAAGCAATACGAAATACAAATGAACTCAAATTTAATAAGAAAAAATAAATGTCTACATACATGCATGGTTGAGATATTTCACAAAGAAATATTCCGGGATCGATTCAGAATTTGATCCTAGTTAGGAATATATACATTTATGGTATCTTTAAAGCTTTCTTCTTGATGTTACAGGCGCGAGTAAGATTAGATAAGTAGTAATCAATGTTTGTGCTTACGTACGACATGGGGATAACAACCGAGATTGCTTACAACCGAAAGAAAGAATTACTTCTCTAAAACTTCGCTTGATTGTATATAGCAATAGATGAGTAGATGACAATAGAAGCAGAACGTATTTCAATGCAAACCTTACCAAGGTCATATATGATCTTTTGGTAAGGTATGGGTTGTCGACTTTTTCAGATTATCAGTTAATAAAGCCTACCACAGATATAGCTCTACGTAAGGATTGTTCAATACGCGAGTTAATGTGATCAAAAGGAATGCCTATAACAAGGCGCATTCTAGCTTGCAAGAATCGACAAAACAGTCAATTATTAACGAATTTCGTGGTGGAAACGAAAGTTTCTTACAGTCCCTTTGACTTAATATCACAAAATAGAATAGGAATAATGGAATAAAATTATTCAAATCAAATAAAAGTTAACAGATTAATAATAAACCAAATTGAAGTTTCAATATAAAGTTATAAAGTATTTCAGTGTGTTCTTCCTGATTGGAGTAAAATAGGAAAATAAAATAAACGGGGAAAGAACAAAATAATTTTTGCCCAAAGTAAATCTTCTTCGTTGTACAGCTTGAACGTTGTGCCGACATACGTGGCGTAAGTTAGACAGCCAAATCAACTATATCCACCTTTTTCTATACAAATAATCTAAAAAAAGACAAAAATATCTAAATAATCCCAGTTTCGACCTGTCAGCCAGCGGCGTGTATTTTGTATTTGGCAAAATTCATAAAATATCGAATAAATAATTAGGTTGAACAGTTAACAAGTAGTGTCATAAAGAAAATTGTGGGTGACACTAAATCTGAAACAAGTTACGTAATGTCTTGGAAAATGCGCAGTTGAAGTGTGAGGACTGATGATGAAATAATAACAGGACTAAATAAAATTAAAAGCGAATTAAAAAATCTACGGAATCGGGAAAATTAAGTTGGGTTGACCGACTTCATAAATGTTATGTCTGGAAAGTTTAATAAAGTTTTTAAGGCCGTGTCGAAAACTAATAAAAAAAAAAAGCGAAAAACTAAAGAACAAAGTAAAAACGCTTAAAACAGAAGTAAGCGTACTAGATGATTACTGTCTGTAAAATGATTGCCACATTATTGGTCTTCATGTTGCTCAAGTTATGATTCTAGAGAGATGGCATAGTATATGAATTGATATCGAAGAGGCCTACTGCATAGGGAGGATATAACAAAACATTAATGGCAAAATTCATATCCAGCTGTAACAAGCAAAAAGTAGTGCTTGCAAAATCAAAACTCAGAGAAATCAGGAACGGAGAGCTAAGTGTACGTAAGCGACCGCCTTAGCGAGGACACATTACACCTTAGGAATCATTCCAAAGCATTGAAAACCATAAGGTAGCACTATGCGAACGACCGCAATGGCAAAGATTATTGTGAGAAGAGCAAGCAATCCAAAATGGGAGTTATTAGATCTAAATATTAGGTAGATGAAATTTTACTAAATGGAATACCAAACAACCAGCAGGAAGGTACAGCACAATCGCTAAGTGGAAACGTCATTGGTGGAAATTCTACGCAAATCGATGAGCAGTGTGCAACTTGTCACTCCCTTGGAACGATCTAAAATGGTTGTCTCTAATTTCTTTCTTAGTTTTATAATCATACTTAAATATTCATAATCTATTATTATAAAAAAGAGCCAATATATCAAAATATTTTCAAATTTTACAAAGGGCATATGTGCCGTTAAGTCAAACTGTTTTAACATAACCTGAACACCGAGAGCGTTTCTTCCGCAAATAAATTCAATCAGTTAAAATCCATCACTGGAAAATTTCTTAGATTGCCTGATATAATAACAGTGCAAGAAACATGTTTTCATAATCCATTTTCATACAATTGTAGACAATACTTGGCTTCTCAGAGATTTGTTATGGGTGTGGTGGTATTTCATCATACATTAACAAACTTTGGACTTATTACTAACTTTGTTGAAATTATAGCCATTACTATAAGGTATTTTAAATTTAATCATAACATTATGAAAATAGGCCCTTTTTGTCGATAACAAAAATTCTATACTAATATCATGTCACCTTAACCAACCCTGTTTAACGCGATTCAAATGCTGACTTGTTCCAAAATCAGTATTTTGATTATTTGTCCACAATCTTTCAGGACTACAACTGCTATTACATCCACAACATAGTGAAAAGATCTGGTAGCAACAACTGATAGTAAAGTCTCAACTAAAGAGTACATTGCAAAATAGAAGATTCACTGTGATTACAAAAAAGTTAAGGAGTACTTGCAATACATCTTATAAATGCATTTAACATCGTTGACTGCCGCCGATCCAACTGAAAAGGTGCTTTCTTTTAAGACTGCAGTAAGCAACTCAACCATTACTACTAAATATGAGAAACATACTCCATTTGAGCTGACTCCTTGGTTAAACACAATTCTACAAGAACTGATACTGTTCAAACAAAAATTAGTAAGTAGAAGTCGCAAAACGCCCAATAAATAGGATTTTGAGAACACGTTAAAAAAGAAAAGCAATGTAATTAAAGTCGCAAGTAGGGATTCTATAGATAACTTTTACGTACGTAGCTGAAATACTACTGGAAAAGAATCAAAAAAGTGTTGAAAATTTATTAACACTACTTGGCACTACCACTATGAATGATATAACAAAAGTAATTAGTAATATAAAGTTGTTAAAAGTACAGGTAATGATTGTATATCAATAAAATTTGTAGAAGAATATTCTCTAGAAATTACTATTATTTGGCGAAAAAGTGAACGTTCACCTACAAAACTTAATTCCTAGAAGATTTAAAACATCGATTAAAAAAGCAATCAAAAAGAAGATAAGAATTTTCTGAAAAAATTAACGCTAATTTCCTCTTATAAATATCCTCGTCTCTATTTTAGAAAACACGCTAATCATAAATAGAAAAAATGTGAATTGACAATACTTGCCAACTTTGTCATAAAGTTTATTGAGCAAATGAGAAAGTTTACTTATTAAAACCAAAAAAAAAAAAAAAACTAAAAGTTATAGGAAATAATATATTGCAAATCAATTTCCAGTTCCTTAATAGGTGTCAGTAAATTTCAATTGACAAATTTCTTTATAATATTTTGTCAACTGTTTTGCAGTATTTGCAAAATTCCAATAGCTGTAAATAAATAACAGAAAAAAGGAAAACAGATTAAACATAAGTTTTAAGAGCCTTTATTTGCGAAATGGGTGTACCAAAGTTTTTTCGTTACGTCAGTGAACGTTATCCTTGCCTGAGTGAATTAGCCCGGGAGCAAAGGGTAAGTGTACTTATTTGTATGAAAACATGTGCATGAGTGTGTATACCTATACATTTTTTTTCTTATTTTTATTTTACCCATGGCATAGATCCCACAATTTGACAATTTGTATTTAGATATGAATGGCATCATACACAACTGTTCTCATCCCGACGATTCCAATATACACTTTAATATCACTGAGGAGGAAATGTTTAGGGATATGTTTAACTATGTGGATAAATTGTTCTTCCTAATAAAACCTCGAAAACTATTTTTCATGGCCGTAGATGGTGTTGCACCGCGAGCTAAAATGAATCAACAACGTAGTCGGCGTTTTCGTTCAGCTAAAGAAGCAGAAATTTTAGAAAAGCAGGCATTGTGTCGCGGTGAGGTCCGGGCACATGAACGTTTTGATAGCAATTGCATTACACCAGGTACTGAATTCATGGACCGCTTACATGAAGCACTGCGTTATTTCATAAAGAGTAAGATCAGTTCAGATCCTTTGTGGCAAAAATGCCGCGTAATACTCAGTGGGCAAGATGTAAGTGTATTTAATATTTTCGTAACCAATTACATCCTGCAACATTAGAGAACTAAAATATTTTATGTAAGTAATCTTTAAGTACAAGCCAGAATCTTTGAGCAGGGCTTAAAAATGTTAACATCACTGTATTCGAAGTTAATCTTTACCTTTTAAATTTAACGTTTGAACACAGAACTTGTAAAAATATGTGTCAAATTTGGATGTATTCCATGCATTTATATTTATTATATTTATTGATATGTACAATATGTGATTCTAATTTAATTTTGCGGGATAAATACGCTTTTCTTTATATACTTCAATGTTGGAGGGTGCCAAATGGCTTTCCTTCGTCAACCATGATATTCTTAATTATTTTAATAAACTCTTTCAAATCATTGCTACATTATAAAATCTTAGTTTCCTGGCGAAGGTGAACACAAAATCATGGATTATATACGTTATTTAAAATCGCAAGCAGACTTCAACCCAAATACTCGTCACTGTTTATACGGGCTTGATGCCGATTTAATTATTTTGGGCTTGTGTACCCACGAACTTCATTTTGTGGTATTGCGTGAAGAAGTAAAATTTGGAAAAAAATCGAAACGCACATCAGTTGAAGAGACACGTTTCTTTTTATTGCATTTGGGGCTACTGCGTGAATACTTAGAGCTGGAATTTAATGAACTGAAGCATTACCCAAGCTATGACATCGCTCAGCTAATTGACGATTGGGTTCTTATGGGATTTATGGTGGGCAACGATTTCATACCGCATTTACCCTGCTTACACATATCAACTAATGCACTGCCTCTTCTTTATAAAACTTATATAAAAGTTTATCCTACATTGAAGGGTACGTTTCATTTCTGAATTTATTCCCTCTTTACATTTTTGATTAATTTCAGGTAATATTAACGAAAATGGTAAACTAAATCTTGAACGTTTGGAGAAATATTTTGCCGCTCTTACTGAAGTTGAGTTTGATATATTTCAAGAAAATCATGCTGATCTTAAATATTTTGAAGCTAAGCAATCAAAGGTGACTTTTTGTAGTTAATATTGCGATAGTATTAAAGTTTTTATTTTAATATTCTATGAATAAAGAATGGTACTGAGGAAGCTTTTGATTTTGATGTTAACGAAATTAATATGGAAAACACTGATCACGATTTAGCAGCCCTCATCGAAAATAGTAGAAAGGTAATTGCAATATGACTGATTTTAATTAGATGTGATTAACCTTAGAAAAATTTTTAGTTTTTAGGAGATGAAGATGATTTATCTGATAACGATGGACAACATATATTTAAAGAATTTGAAAATTATAAGCGAAATTATTACATGAACAAGTTAAATAAAGACAATGTGAACGGGTAAGTATTCTTATTGGATTGTTTGAAGCCGCAAATAATTGAATAAATTATATTTTATAGGGAACTTAAACGGGAACAGGCTATTTGCTATATAACCGCCTTGCAATGGGTTCTGGATTATTATTATCGGGGCGTCCAGTCTTGGGATTGGTATTACCCTCACCATTACGCCCCTTTCATTAGCGATTTAAAAGACTTTAAAGATCACAAAATAGAATTTAACATGGGAGCACCGTTTTTACCTTTTCAGCAGGTGAGTTTTTTTTTTAAAAGACCGTGAGAACAGTTCAGGGTTTTACAGTGTCAAAGCACTTAAAAATTCAAGACCTAAAACTAAATAACATCAATGTTTGATTGTTTTAAAAACTAAAGTTTATGCGCGTTGTCAAGCCAGTAATCTGAAACATTATTTCTTCACATTTTATTTAATCATACCATTATTTTAGTTATTGGCTGTTTTGCCGGCAGCTAGTAAAAATTTATTGCCACCCGCTTATCGTGATTTAATGACTAACGCTAACAGTGAGGTGATACATTTTTACCCAGAAAATTTCGAAACTGATTTGAACGGGAAACAACGCGAATGGGAGGCAGTTGTCTTAATACCATTTATTGATGAGGTTTGTTCTAATTTCAGAAATATCGTAAAATTGTATGAGTTCATATATACCGTTAATACACACTGTATATTGGTGTTGTCTACCTATAGAAAGTTTTACTCCATGCCATGGAAGCCTGTGATAAACATTTAACTGCAGTTGAAAGGAAGCGAAACCAACATGGACCTATGCTACAATATGACTATCATCCTGATTCGCAAGGCCAAATACAGGGCACTCAGTCATTGAAAGTTTTGTATAACGTCTTTTGCACGGAAAAACCATTTTGGTCCAAAGATATAGCGGTTTCATCTTCAGATACTGTGTGCATTGATTTACCAAACGCTGCTCGTTCTGTGTTCTTCCCCGGCTTTCCCACCATGAAACATTTAGATTTTGACGTAAGTTTTTCAACTAATTTATCTTTTTTTTCTATTAATTTGCGCTCCCACCACCACATTACACTTATTCTACCATTTACTTTGTAAAATCTGCAAATGCGAATATACATAAACTATAAATACATTTGGTCAATAGGTTCAATTTAAGAGGTGTTGATATCGTGTCAATACCGTAAGAGTTAAAATTCATTGCAGGAAAAATTAACGTTGGCCATCTCTAAAAGCATTTCCAATATATCAAAAGCTGAAGTAACCGAAAAATCTCAAATTTACCTTTTTTTAATAAATTATTTGGGTACAAGTAATTATTGGAACTATGCAAAAAATGCTCATGAGTACATATCAAATACAACAAAACGGTAGTTTTATAATTACTCGAAAATTATTTCAGGTGTTAGGTGTTCAACGCAATGATTCGATTTGGTTCAATAGCTTCTTTATATACCTATTTTTTTCATTTGGTTAGTTTGAGCTGAAATACGCACGCGCAAAAGTGTTCGACTGTCCCAGTCGTAGCGAGAATATGATTTTGAAGCCTAAACCCCGAAAGGCATTAAGTGACGTTTTTGCAGTGGCCGAAAAGTACCTCAACCAAGTAGTGTATGTCGGATGGCCACATCTGAATAAAGCAAAGGTTGTTGCTGTTTCGAGTAGAGAGAAGTACATTGATGTCGATGGCATCAAAGAGATGGAATCTAAAGTATTCGATGGAAACATTAGAGCTGCAAATGAACAGTTGAGTGTTAAGAGAACTTCGACAGCTTAACAGCGCAAAAAAATAAATAAAAAAACACGTAAATAAACTAGTTTTCCATTTTAGCTTAACCACTCGTATGGGTATAGAAATAAATGATCTTAATGTTATGATTCACGTTCGCACTTTTGCCGGTTCTTCAGTAGTATGCGGCAGTCAAGGGAAGGTTTCCACAAACGAAATTTGGAACGAAAAAATCACTATTTATCCTGCACAGGGCTTAGTCTCGCAAATAGCGGTGCAACATCCTCTCAATAATCAATTTAAGCACATAGAGCAATTGTTTCCGGAAAATAGTAGAATATTTTTCATAGGAAACCCTTATTACGGCAGCGAAGGAATTGTTATGAACCCAATGCTGGTGTATGAATGTGGTAGACTTAAAGGTACTATTGCTTTGATTTTCGTCTTAAACTACTTTTAAAATCATTCACTCTTATTGATATACTGTGAACATTTTTCACCTTATTATTATTATTTTTTTCGTAGTAAATATAACTGTCTTGCCGGAACCCAACTTTGCGGCAGCTAAATACGTGGAAAGTCAATTAGAGAAAGATTATATTGTTTCCTCTCAAGCGTCTATTCAACTTGGAATAAATCCCAAGTGTTTGGTACGCCTTACCGGCAATTTGTCAGTTGCACATGGGGTTAGACGTTTGAAAGGAGATGTTCCAGAAACTTCCGTCAAATACCAGATTGGTCTGCAATTTAAAAATATTAAAGATCGGGAAGAATTGGCCGGTTATGCTACACGTGTTGACGGTCAATGGTTTTTCTCTTCCAAAGCTTTAGCTCTTATACAAGCATATTGCTCTCAATTCCCTCTAGTCGTAGAATACCTGAGCAGATATTCTGAACGCTCAGAGGAAATATTTGCCGGTGATATATTCCCTGGGGCAACTGCACAGAAAAAAATAGATGAAATTACTGCATGGCTTAAACAGCAAGATCATGTAAAAGCAGAAAAGGTTCCTTGGGGTTCTAAAACTTTGAAAAAAGAAACTGTTGAGGGGATACTTTGTGCTATAGAACAATTAAAGGTAAAAGAGCACTGATGTCTTATGATATATTCTGCAAAGGTATTAACTATTACTAATTTTTGTAGACTTTACCTGTCAAGACTGTTAAATTACAGGTTAAACCCCATTTATTACTTAAGCCTGATATAAGCCTACCTGAAGCGTACAAAGCTAAACGTCCCATTAAATTATTTGATCGAGTAGTAGTTGTAAAGACTACTTATTTGGTAAGCTAACAAAAAATGAAACGTCCTTGGTATGGTATATTCATTATGGAAATTACAAAAATAGGTGCCCCTCGGCGCTAAAGGTACTGTAATTGGTGTTTATCCAATAACTGATCCCAATCCGGTACGTTTTGAATGTGTTAAGGCTGTAGATTATTTCTATGAAATACTCTTTGACAAAAATTTACCAAGCGGTAACGATATATATGGCATAGCTCAGCGGCGTGTGCATAGAGTAGCTGAATCGTCTGTACTTTTAATCGCACAGGGTATATATATAGACAATGCTCTAATTACAAATTATAATCTTCTAATATTTCCCTGTACTTTTGCAGACAATATTGGAGAAAATGAAACAGGAGCAACGCCCAAACTCATTAATCGCAGGGATAAAACGCTTCAAAAAGCAAACATTATGACAGCTGCTATAAGTGGAAATAATATTGAACTGAATACCGATAATAATATTAAAAAGAACGGCAATGCAAGTGCATCTAAAATTACTACTGTAACAAAAAGTACTGATGACTTTTGGACACCTTCGTCAGATACGAAATTAAAATGCAACGTAGCGCAAACTGCGTTTTTGGATCATACGGCTGTCAACAAGAAGCTAACTGAAGGGGTGCCAGGGGAAATGGGTAAACAACTAATTAGCCACACAGAAACCCAGGCCCTAAAAGATCTTTTAGGCCTAATACCAAATAAAGACAAAAGGAGTAACCCACCTGCCCTTAATATCGTATCTCCAAACAATCCTAATAAAGTAAGTGTTTTTTTTTTTAATTAATACTCGTAATGTATTCCGTGTTTTGAATAGCAGCAACTACCTCAACCGCCTTCTTATTGGCGTTTAGATGCTCAAGCTGTTAATGCGTCAACATCACAGTCGAATACTCAAATACCATATCAATATCATCGTAACTTTCCACCACCGACCCATCCAAAAGTACCACAAATTGCTATACCTTTCAATTACGCTCTAATACCTCCAACAAATGCCATGCCAGCATCTAACCGCAATTTCAACCTGCGTTTCCCTCTAATGCCTGCACCTTCTCTACAACAATACTATCAGGTACTTATAAAGGTATTAAGAAACAAACTGACTATACTTAGCTTTTTTTTT